GTTGAGAATATTTACCTGATAGTTTGCTAACATTTTATTATGACACCAAACTAAGACCTAACTGTCAATTAGCCCAAACCAAAACCGAGTTAAAAAAGGAACTGTGAAGAGATATTCATAAAGATTTTGCTCCTAAATATAAAAAAGACTGATTAGCTGCTGGATTTAGCAAAGAACAGACTAAAAAAATCTTGGAAGAATGAAGCCAATTAGAAGTTAGACCCCGAGATGGTGCCTTTATCAATTGATTTCTCAATTTCAAAAAACTAGACTTAACCTGAGCCTGAGAAAACGAAGAAGAGTTTGAAGATTTAAGGGATAAGTATAAGAACTTTGGAACTTGTCCAGAATGTCAGCAACCCAATACTAGTAAAGAATGATGTCAAACTTGTAATGCTCAGCATTTTAAAAAGGAATTTCCGAACTGAACTAGTGGTAATACTCAAATAGATATTTTTATTCAAAAATGCCAATTAGAAGCTACTAGCGCTTGAAATATTTTAGAATGAATTCCTTATGAGAAATTTAAGAACATAGAACACCTAGCTGATGGTGGTTTTGGTAAAGTGTATAAAGCTGAATTAGTAGGTGGTTCTATTGGAAAGTGAGATAATGACAAGGGGAAGTGAAATAGAAATAAAGATAGTTGAGAAGCCTATCTAACAGTAGCCTTAAAAACTCTCACTAACTCCCAACAACTTAATCAAAACTTCTTAACCGAACTAACTCTTTATAAAATGTTTAGAAGTGAAGTAAGTAATATGGTGCCTTGTTATGGGATTTCCCAAGACCCAGCAGGTAATTATATTATGGTCATGAAGTATATGAAAGAGGGAAATTTAAGAGAATATTTAAGGAGGAATTATCGGAAGTTAAAGTTTTATGATGAAGATGAGTATGGAAACATTAAAAGTAGCAAACTTAAATTCCTACAACAAATCATTCAAGGTTTAAAAGATATTCATCGGAAGAACTTGGTGCATCGGGATTTTCATGGTGGGAATATTATTGTTGGTATAAGCAAAAATGTTTTTGGTGATAAGAAAAATACATGTCATATCACCGACCTAGGCTTAACCAAGCCAATTAATGAAACAGATAATGGTAAGGTTTTTGGAGTAGTTCCTTATATGGCACCCGAAGTATTGAGAGGAGAAAAATATACCCAAGCATCCGACATTTACTCCTTAGGCATGGTTATGTATGAGATAATTACTGGTTGCCCTCCTTTTGCTCAGTCAGCTCATGATGTTAATTTAGCCTTACAGATTTGTCAAGGAGCCAGACCGCAGTTTCCTCAACAAGTCAAATATCCTCAATTACTAATAGATTTAATTAAAAGATGTTGAGAGCAGGAACCTAAGAATAGACCAACAGCTAGGGAAATAAGTAGTATAGTAGGAGAGTGGATTTGTGAAGAAATTTGAAGAAAAAATAAATTAAAAGAAGACATCCAATTCTATCGCCAATATCAAGAAGCCGAAGAATTCAATAAAACTCTACCTGAGGAAATTAAATATCCTACTTACCAATCTCAGGAAGTTTGACATAGTAAAGAGATAAATACTAAACAAATCACCGAATTATTACAAAAAAGTATACAACTAGACCTTGATTTTGCTGAATTTAATATCTCAGAAGAGCAGACCCCAGTAGCCCAAATGGAAATCCCTCCTAAATAAAAATAATCGCATGACCACCCCAGAAGAAGAAATTGCTAAATTGAAAGCTGAGATAGAAGCCTTGAAGCAAAATGTCAAAGAACTAAAATTGGAAATAGAACTCCAATGAAATTCCCATTTAGAGAAAGATAAAGAAATTAGAGAGCTTCAAGAAAAACAACGCAAAGATTACCAACACTCCAAGCCCAAATTCAACTACCTCTTAAATAAACCTTATTCCTTTCAGCTCGTATTCAACAATACTATCACTGTATCCAAAATCAATACCACTAATGATATTTTGAAACCTTAATTAATCACCTTAATCTCATTTTTGCTCCCTTCCCAAAGAGAAAGGTCAAAACAACCACGACTGTAATCATAGCCCATTTCTTTTAAATTAACCCTTTGTAATTTAGAATCATATGAACCTCCTGTTATTTTTATCTTTCTTTCATAAACATAATTGTTTAAGAGAAATAATGTTTGTGAAAACTTCATATTATTCACTTCAATTATACTAGAAGTTTGGGATGTTCCAAAGAATAAATATTGACTTCTAGAATGTTTGGAAAAAATCTCTTGGTTTTCTTGAAGAGAAAAATCATCATTATGACAAAAAGAAAAACAAGGAGCAGTTCTATAAAACCGAAGTTCTTTAACCACTTGTT